GAATCCCCATGCATACTTTATTAAACACTGAGGCAATTAACTAAGGGCTGTTCATATTTCCCGTCTTTTGCGCACACAAGTTCGTTATTTTTAATGGAGGCGTGCAGCTTGCGCATGGCGTGACACGCTCACCTTTTCCAGGCGCACCTAGTTGAAAGAATGCCACAAGTGCACTGTGATCACCTGACAAGAACTGACCGATCAGCTTCATACGTTGTATAGAATATCCACATTTCTACTCTGATGAGAAAAAGAAAATATAAAAGGAAAATACTAAACAATTTAGTAAAATAAATAGTGGACTAAATGTGCCTTTCAGACAGAGGTTCACCCCTTGGACAACGTTTGTTCTCTTTAAAATGGAAATACTTACATAATATGTGGCTTAAATTGACAAATACATATTTTTTTATTCATTTTATTCATTTTCTTTTCTGCTTGGTCCCTTTATTAATTAGTGGTCATCACAGCGAAATTAACCACCAACTTATCCAGCATATGTTTTATACCTAGCAGTGGAAAACCCCCATACACCCTCATTTACACCCTCATTCACAAACATACACAGACAATTTAGCTTACCCATTTCACCTTCAGTATACCACATGTCTTTGGACTATGGGGGGAACTGGAGCACCTGGAGGAAACCCATGCGAACATGGGGAGAACATGCAAACTCCACACAGAAACGCTAACTGACCCAGCCGAGGCTTGAACCAGTGACCTTCATGCTGTGAGGTGACAGCGCTACCCACTGGGCCACCACACCACCCCTTATTTACTGATTGATTTATTCATTCATTGTTCTGTCATTTATTTTCAGTGTGAAATTATTACTTATGCTTGAATGCCAAAACATTTTTTTTAAAGTCCAAAGAGAAATGGACTATTGTTTGTTTTTATTATTTTCATGTGATTTAAATTAATGAATGCATAATAATTGTGATAACTGTGAAACTGTGATTATTCCTCAGACTATACCCGTACAACCAAAATCTATAATCATTGCATTCCTACTAACATCTCAAACCTAATTTTTGACATCATGGGGATTTTGAGAAAAAGTAATTTAGAAGTAATTAATTATTTATTAATTAATTATAATTAGTAATTAATTGTAAATACTGCAATATTCTATAAGAATTGCCCTTTCTGGTGACCTAAGGTGCTTTGGTTTTTTAAAATCTCAACAGCACTAAAGATATTTTTATAATATAGATGTTTTTTAACCTAAAATTAAAAAGACCGTAGAACATAGGTTGAGAATTCATAACAGAATTGTTCTCTCTGTTTATGTAAACTTCTGTGATATTATACAAGCCTGTGATTTTCAAATAATTTTTTTTGCAAATGTGTTTGTGTGCTTGTACTGGTTATGTCCTGCACAGATCCACTGTCACGCTGATTCTGGGAGGTCTCGTCTTTTCAGCACTGATGGTCCATGGATAAACTGCAGTGACACACTGCCGCGTCCTTCAGAGGGGCCCTCCAATTACCACTGAGACACACAGGCCACCAAAAACGTGAAAAAAATGTGCATGCTATGTCTGGAAATCTCCTAAAGAAGCAATCCATAAATCGAAATGAGTAAATAAGACTGGTCAGAGACTAGAAGAAGATTTTTTCCTCATTAGCAGATATGTTTAAACTGACCAAGACTGCCATTTCGATTTGTTTGACCTTTTAAATTCATTTAAAGTGGCAGCACAAAAAAAAAAAAAAACTCCTCCGCTATGCTTTTACCTTCTGTAGCGTGACTGATTTCCTCTGGTGTTCAGAGTGGACTGGGTTTTTCTAGCACCATTTGAAATCGGTCGTGCTGAAAGGTATGGCGTCGCCTTCATATGTGCAGGCAGCAGACCACTTTGTAGTCCCTGAAAAGACAGGAAATGGATGGGGTGATGTTTGAAGTTGTATATCAACAAACCACTGGTGCAGAGACAGAAATGTACCATTATTTATTGCCTCAGTTGAATTAAAGTAACCAGATCTTTGAAACTTTTGTCACAACTTAATGTCTTTGTGCTTAATCCACCTAATACATTTATAATTGAGGTTTAGCTCATTTGGGTTGAAACCTGTATAAGGAAATTTAGTACTGATCTATTAAGATTAGATAAGATTCATTCATTATTTGTTCATCATACATTGAGTCGATTCAATCATAACAATCATAACTTTACACAACAAATTATAACAGCAATTATAATATTATTTATCAATATATGGATTTTTTGGGATTTTTAAAAGCTACGAAAAACTTAAATGTATAACAGGAAATACGGACTATTGTTATTGTTTACATCCCTAAAAATGGTCTGTAATGATCAATCAAAATGTGTTTAAACACAAGTAAAAACCCAGATACTTAAGTATAAAAGTAGGTTTTATTTTTAGAAATGTTTCCTTCCTTTTATTTTAATGTAACATTTGCAAATGCCATGGCAATCTAATAACTGAACATTTAATTTTAGCAATGTTTAATATGTAAGTTTTTTTTCTAATTTACATTGTTTTAATTAATAACAGTCACACGTGTTAATTTGTTTTTAGACTAAAACACTTAATTAACTAATCTAATTTTATACTATTAATTGTTTTGTGAAATGAGAAACAATGTTCTATTCTGTAATAGTGTTTCTTGAACAAATCTTAAATAATAAATAAAAAAAGTAGATGTTAAATTTATTAAAGGTCCCTGAACATTTATTCAAGGATCAAAAAATGTTTACTGAGCAAAATGTATTAACATACTACTAAGTATTGGATTGTGGTGAATTTTAATGAAAAACGCATTCAAACTGTTTTCAGCGAAACATTAGATAATTAAAACATAATCATATTTCAAAATAGTTTTTCTGAAATTATAATGTAAATATACTAGGCATGGGCCAGTATAATATTCTAAGGGTCTGATAACCTTGCATAAAAAAATTCACGGTTTCACGGTATTATGATTTTTGCTCTAAAATATGTTCTTTTTAAATGTCTGGGTAAACAAACTAAAACTTTTTATCTGCTTTGAACACAATGAGTCGGAAATTGCATATTATATAGTACGCTTAAAACAGTATGCAAGCAGAGTAGTATGTTCGAATTCACAAGCTTTGTCCCAAATATCACACAATACACTATGCACTTTAGCACTATGTACTTATGCACTTACAAACTCGACAGCATGTATGTAGTGTTCCCAAAAGAACACTAATGGATTTTTTACTAAGCGGAAATTCAAACTCGTTTTGACGGTTGCCAAATTAGTGAAACAAATGACCAAACAACCCAATAATATCTGTTGTGAGTATAACTGCATTCACCATCGGGAGGTGGTATAATCCCTCTCGTAGGAGAATTTTGCTTTCACAATACAAAATAAATAAACTAATCCAACATCAGTGCCCGTAAGCTTCACCCCTTCCTCTACGTGAGCAAAGCTGAGACCGTTGAGTGCATGAAGTGTACATCAGTAGTAAATTTAAATTCAAATGCATTACCTGCTGAGTAGTAGGTGATTTCGGACGCAGTCAATATATTTTATTTTAGGAACATTTAAAATATTTTGGAGCAGTAAACATGTCTGGGAAAATCAGTCAAGTTAATCATTGACTTCTGCTGTTTTTGTATGTATTAGAGCTGCTCTTTTTAAGAAATAAGCAGCTTTAATGAAATAAGGAAAAAAAAATAATAATAAAGTTAGCATTTTGCAGTCAAATTTGATAAGAATTTATTTTAGCAAAAGAAAAAAAATTGAATATATTTTGGACAGAATTCAGTGTAAAATGTAAGAAATTATTTATAAAGATAGACAGGTCTACAGAATTATTTTAGAGTGTATCAACATGAATAGCAGCTGATGTTTTTGATCTAACAGCTGAAAAACTACATGATGAACGCTGCGAGTTTGCATCAGGATGATGATACATGAGCCGCCTTTTTAAGCAATGTTGTTAGGCTATATTGCAGAGTTTGATGCTGCTGAGCTACTTTCATAAATTTGGCAACAAACACTTTACATAAAAATAGGAAATGCTAGTTATTTTATACTAATGTATCAATAGGATGTGAGGACTAGTTACCTACCTATCCTCGCTCACTATACTTCAGCTTCGTCTCTGATTTTTGAGGGGTCCCCACAGCAGACTGAATCACCAATTATTCCAGCAAATGTTTTACACAGCAGATACCCTTTCAGCTGGGAAACACCCATACACACTCACATTTGCACACTCTTATACACTGCTGCCAATTTATTTACCGATTATTCACCTATACTGCATGTTTTTGGACTGTGATTGAAATGAGTACTTTTACTTTGTTACTTTTGTACATTTTTGAGGCCAAACTTCTTTACTTTTACTTAAGTACAAACGTGAAGTCATTACTTTTACTTTTACCAGAGTCATTTTAAACATGAGTATCTGTACTTAAAAGATGTGTGTACTTTTGCCATCTCTGAAAAACACAAATAGAAATCTTTACAATTTAATGGCATCTTTGGATATCTTTTCTGCTGGAGATTCTGTTGTCCTAAAAACAACAACAAAAAAAAACTCACTTATACCTTAGGAATGGTATAACAGAAAGTTTTTTGTTTTAAACCTTGACTTTTCCAAACCGCGGTATGCCTTGAAAACGATTATCTTCCCATGTTATTATACAGTCTTAATCTTATTTCTAATTTGATTTTGATATTTCCTTCACAAAGTTTTACTAAATCATTAAAAAGTGAATTAAATCTTCATGTACTGTGACACATATGACGGTCACTGGTTCAAATTGCTATTGCTAATATTCGTAAAGAAGTTAACATTTAATTTCTAGGCACTGTCTATTTTAAAATTCTCTTTCATTCCTCAACATCACTTTGTCTGATTAGTGTCTCTCTTTTACTGCTCATCAGCTTTAGAATTAACAAGACATGTTTGGACCCGCAGCTCCAGAGTCAATCATTAAACACACATGCAAACATCACTTCTGAGCCAACGCATACTATCCCACAATCCCTGGACAGCAGAGGCAAGTGTCAGAAGGGATGGGACTCTATTTGCCCTCATTCCTAAGAGGAATCAGGTGCTTTCTGTCACCTGGACTACCAAATCTCCATGGATGTCACAACCAACCCACTTGCCTGAACTGAGACCTGTCCCAATCTGATCCGGAGTCAGTCAGCTGGATGTCACCCTCAGTCTTTCTAAGAACAGAGAGAGGAAATCAAAGATGACCATTGGGTGAGAAATACACAATTATTGTTCTTGTATTTGGTTGAGTGCTACTAAAGTTTGCATTCAATGTTACATTTTAGGTGACTTTGCTATGTTCTGTAAAAACACTTTTAGGATGACGGAACAGTTTGACATGATGATGGAAAATAAAGAAATCCAGGATGACTGCAGTCTAAAAAGCAAGCAATACCTTCTCGCGTGTGTGTTTTTTTTTGTAGCAGTGACCCTCAGTAATGACTACACTTGATGTATGAGTTGAAGAAGATGACTTTTAGACCGCTGTTTATCTGTCTTTTAGTTTGTTTGATGAATCGACTGCAGAGTATTTCCTTAGCCCTTCCTCATGCCCAAAGGAAACACCTCCATGGTTTTCCCAGCTGAAAGACAATTTGAAAGGTACTTTTTGTTGTTGTTTTAGAGATAAATATATGTATAATAATACAGTTTAATACACGTGGACCTGGACCATTAAACCAGCGTTATGTTGTACTTATGTTAAGTATATTTGTAGGTATAGACAACAATAAGTTGTATCAGTCAAAAAGATTGATTTTTCTTTTAAGCCAGAAGTCATTAAGTAAATATCATCTTCCATGAACACATTTTTTAAAAACTTCCTTCTATAAATATATCAAAATGTAATTTTTGATTAGTAATTTGCATTATTAAGAATTTAATTTGGACAACATTAAAGGTGCTTTTCTCAATATTTATCAAATCAAACTTCAATATGGAGATATAAATATAGTTTGCAAACATTTATCCTTTTTTTGTAGTGCAGGGTCTCATTTACTCATAAAAGGGACTGTATAATATATGAAACCAGCAGAAACCCTGTATATATATATATATATATATATATATATATATATATATATATATATATATATATATACATACATACACATGTATATGTATAAACAACACTGTTAAACCTTACCAGGCTTTTTTACAGTAGAACACTGGCAACACTGTTGCCAGCTACTCACTGTAAAAGTTTGGTTACAGTAAGTAACTGGCAACAGTGTTGCCAGTTAATTACTGAAACTGAACCATTACAGTGAGTGGCTGGCAACAGTGTTGCCAGTTGTTTACTGTAACCGAACCATTGCAGTGAGTAGCTGGCAACAGTGTTGCCAGTTAATTACTGTAATAGAGCAGTAGTGGTAACTAACTGGAAACTGTGTACAGTTAATTACTGTACTGTAGTGTTACAACTCACAGCATTATACTGCATACACAATAGTATGTCAAGGTGTTACTAAAATTAATTAGTATTCTTACCTGTTATTAATTCTTTAAATTAATTAAGTTGTAAATTCTGACAAATTTATTTTATTGTTTTGGCAGCAAACAAATATAAAACAGAAAATGTAAACCAAAATTAAGAAATCAGCAGATATAAATATCATCTTACATATTACTGAGAGCCACAGGTCTGCACAGCAAGGCTGCAGTCAAACTAACGTTTAAGCATGCAAAATTCTGTCATATGGCTCTGCGAAAAGGAGTGGGATTAAACAAAATATTTAGAGATTGAAAAAGCAAGCAACTGGTCCATAATTTTTGTTCAGAGATGTCATGGTTTGATCTTTGATTAGTCTCAAGCAATCACATGATGTGATTTCGCAGTTCAGAGTTCTCCAAGCTTGAACTTTCCAATGCTGCAAACTGTAAAATTTGCCGCATGAGCATGCATTCCAGGTCTGCAGCATTCACGTGCGTATGAATGGAAGTCTAAAGGGAGAAAAGTGCAGTGTGACCGGGACTTTAAGCTGTAACTCTAATTAAACACACCTGATAAAACTAATTAAGGCTCGTTAGAAATCTACAGGTAATGTTGAAGCAGGGTGGGAACTAAACTCTGCAGCCCTGCAGTTCTCCAGTAACTTGGAGTTTGACCCCCATGGTATATAGCAGGGGTGCTTAATCCTGTTCCTGCAGATTTCAGTTGCTACCCATATCAAACACACCTGCCTGTAATTATCACGTGGTGTTCAGGTCCTAATTAATTGGTTTAGGTGTGTTTGATATGGGTAGCAACTGAAATCTGCAGGAAGGTAGATCTCCAGGAACAGGATTAAGCACCCCTGGTATATAGCATACTTTTAAAGCAACTGCTAACATTTATCACAATCACATATCCAATAAATAAACACACACACACACACACACACACACACACAAAGTGCTGCAGTGAAATGTGTTACTCTCTCCTCAATGCTGACCATGCAAAAAAAAAAAAAAAAACTGAACAGCAAAAAACACAAAATAATTATTTTAAATTTTAAAGTTTTAAATAATTAAAAGCTCTGTCAAATCTCAAAAAGTTTAAAATAATTATATAAAACAAAAATAAAGTTGGCAACACTGAAAAACCAAAGGATCCAATCTTTTATTGTTATAATTATTATTTTTTTACTTTAAAAATCTCATGACAACAAACTTTTATATTGTTTCTAATATAAATTCATAGGTGGAAACACTACTCTGATATCTGAAATAGCAACAAACTCACAACCTGGGACCTGACAGTAGAGCTTTTGTGTGTGGATGGTTATGTGTATCATGTTTTTGTGATTCCCTGTGATGATTTCTGTTCACATGTTACCTTACTAAGGTGATGGAATTTAATGGTTTTTATGTGCATAAAAGCTGCTTATTTGCCAGAAAGATACATGAAACTGTTAGCATCTGTATATGGCAGTATGCAATGTCCAATAAATAAATATACTTAAATAAAAGTAATGTAAGAAGTTATATGAGGAGAGGCTAACTAGCTAACAATGTAGCTTTCAACACATTTTAAGATAACTACAATATAACTTAAAACACAGCCTTATTTTAGAAACCCTCAACATTCATTTGAACACATTTTACTTACTCATTGTAGATTCTTATTTAAAGCCTAAAACATATCAGACTACATCTGAATTGATGGACAGAGAACAGAGCACACAGCAGTAAACAAATCAAACACCTGGCTCCCTTAAAGGGGCAGCATTTTCTGAAAACATTTTCTCAAACTTTTTTGTTAAGAATAAGACAGCCTATGTGAGTGTCTGGTGATGCCTAAATCATTGTTTTCTGCCTTTAAAATGCACGTCTTTATGATTAGCAACATAAAGCATCAGAGTAGATAGGACAGTTCTGGTTGTACAGTAATTTGCCATTTATTGTCACAGTTACTACCTGCAATGTGTACGTAAAGTAAGTTACTGTAATTTATCATTTGCACTACACAATTTAATACAAAGTCTGCTCCTTTTACAGTAAAATACTGTTTCTTTTCATTACAGCTAAACACTGGCTATTTTATAGTTATTTACTGCATAATCTACGGTAAGGGTTAACAGTGAACAAAACAAATGTAGTTATTTCTTAGACATGTATTGTACTTAGTCAAAACAAGAACATTTTAGTTGCATACAATTTTTTGCAATATAATGTTTTGTTTTTAAATGACAAGTTTAACATTGTTAAAACTATATTTGATGTTGAGGCAATTACATGAACAATCAAAAATATATATTTGTTGGCTTTTGGTCCAAATGGATTGAGAATAACTCCTATTCAATTATTATCATTTCTTATTCATTTAGTAATGTTATGTCTGCTCCCCCTTACTTCTGTAAATAGTTCTTGTAGAGATGGAAGAACACGTAAAGGGATATACAGCTGTTATTATCCATTTATGATATTATTATAATAAAGAATTGTGTAATTGTTTTTCCTTGGTTAGTGAATTTAATTTAGAGAATTTGCTGTCTAACATCTGTTGTGAATTACATCTCTTTAAAAAAAGTTTTATTGAGATGAATTTTTGGTGACTGGATGTCTGCCCCACTGGCTAGTTTTTTCTTGGACAGAGTAAAATTAAGACCCATTATATATATCAGTATTAGTTCCTAATAAATTATTTATACAGTTTTAACATGTATAAAATTTATTGTCTACATAAACTCATGCAACATTTTTAGAACATTATTGATAATTACATAGTGTCTGTTTAAGTAACATGAATATACTTAAAGTAAAATATTCACAAACCCGTATTTCATGAAAGAAATGCTCCAGTCACAATATGACAGAATATAACAAGGTGATATAATAGAAACATTGATACACTTACAGTAAAACAATGAATCTTTCAGCAAAAACTTGAGCATTTGTTTCATGTATTACTAAAAAAATCTTTACATTTTTGGATATAAAATCATTACATACAAAATCTGACATATTATTTTGATATATTACTGATTATTGTCCTAATTTGTTGTACTGTTACCAGCGCTGAACATTTTTTAGGAACAACACTTTTCACCAATCTTTGATGCCTAGAAATCATTTACTTGAAACAGAAACTTACACATTCTAAATATCTTAACTTTTTTGTACAAGCATTAATTTTCCTTAAAAGTAAATGACAGATTACATAGTAACATGTTCCGTGTGTATTTTTTTGTCCAATCTGAAAGAAAATAATTGGGGGATTTGGAAAAAAACTAAGAATTTAAAGAAAATATATAACTTAAAAAACAGAAGATATTGTAAGATACGCTATAGCTAAGTAAATTTGGTCTCTGTCATCAGATTACAGTGCAGTTGCCCTGTGGGATACTCTGAGACTGCGCTCTACACAGATACTGCAAGAATCAAACACAGAGCCCTCGATGGAGATTACTGATGAGGTCTGACTCTTTAACATCTCACTAACTCAGTCAACTGTGAAATCTTGAAAGTAATCTTTACCAATGTGAGCTAGCAACATACACTATGTCTTCACAGATTGCCAGACGGGTAACAGACTGGAAGACACAGATAAAGCAGGACCATCTGACCCACCTGTCAGAAGTGAAATACATGTTTCATTGTGCTCAGCGTAATCAAGCCATCTCTGCACTGCTTCTAAAACAAAACCCTTTTTTTGACTATCAGATCAATAATGACTGAATAGATTCCTGCAGATTCTTGCAGAACAACCAAATAAGTGCAAATGCAGAGTACTCAATAAAATGCTCAATTATTCATTCATTCAGTTTCTTTTCAGCTTAGTCCCTTTATTAATCAAGGGTTGCCACAGTGGAATGAACCACCAACTTATCCAGCATGTTTTACGCAGTGGATACCCTTCCAGCTGCAACCCATCACTGGAAAACACCCATACACCCTCATTCACACACATACACTACAGAGAATTTAGCTTACCCAATTCACCTATGGCGCATGTTTTTGCGGTGTGGGGGAAACCAGAGCACCTGGAGGAAATCCACGCAAACACAGGGAGAACATGCAAACTCCACGCAGAATTGCCAACTGACTCAGCCAAGGCTCGAACCAGCAACCTTCTTGCTGTGAGGCGAGAGCGATACCCACTTCGCCACCGTGCTGCCTCTATTGGTTTTGCTTTGTTAAAAGGTAATTGTTACAGGTGTCTGGCTTTCCTGAAAATATATATTCTTTGTGTTCAACAGATAAACTCATAAAAGCTTAGAGCCACTTAATGGTGAGTAAACAGTGAGTAAATGTTCATTTTTGGGTGTGCTTATCCCAGTGTTGCACTGTGATATACAGTTGTACTTATAATTCTCTACCATTGGAGGGCAGCAGACTCTAAATTTGCCTTTAACCTCATTAACGAAACAATTGAAATTGTCTACTTGTTTTGCTCCTGGTTGACAATTGTAAATTGTCATCTAGATCGTGTTTTCTATTATTTTGTGCAGTTATTTGACAGTTATTAAGCTTATTTAAAACTCTTAATTAAAAATTACTGCATTTAGAGATATCCTCTTTTAGAAGATCTCATTTGGTTGCAAAAGATTAAAGCACTGACAAAACGTTTACAATACTAGCACTATGGTAAAATATGTCACTACACAATACAATAAATAGCTGTCATTCCTAACCATAATGCCTGAAACCATTAAGTTGTATCATCCCACACAAACTTTGTACTCTAGATGACCTCGGCTGTTCATGCGTTATTAACCCTATTGCCCTTGTTCTCACTAACCACTAATAACTAACAATTTAGGGTTAATTATAAAACAACCAATACGTGTCGTGTTATAGTGCTGGAGAGTTAGTAAGTAAGCACCTATAGAAAAAACTACCTAGTTACTTAGCGAGTTATACTTTTTACTTTAGTTATTTTGTCACTCGTGGATGAAAACTATGAGCAAAGATTTGATTCCACATAATTTTCTGTGCTATTTTTCTTCCTTATGAAATGTTCACAGAGCAAATACATAACTTTTCAAACTATGAGTTTAAGCAATAAAACAAATATCCGAAGTCACGTGATCATGCACGATTTGGCGTATATTCGATGATAGCCTACATGGATGATCAGTATCGATACTGGTGTAGTTTTATTTCTTTTAAAATAATAGTACAGTTTCTAGTTGATTTTGTTACTTAAGCCTCGGCTTAAACCTTGAAATCTGACAAAGCATACACATTAACTACAGTAGCAACGTACGTGGTACGCAGAGAGGAGATGAACTACCGCCAAGTTTGCGTAAACCTTGTCAGCTTCGAACATTACTACATTAGATTACTACAAGCCATCATGTCGCCACACTCTCTTACCTGTTTATAATACTGTCTGAAGGAGGGAAAAGCGAGAGCACTCCTCCTTCAGTGAGTTGTGCATGTGTGAACAGGTGGACGCGCAGCACGCGAGAGGAGCGCTCGTGCTAATGAGTGCCGAACACAGGTAAGAGCTATAACTTTGTACTTTGATTAATTCACAACTACCTTTTGAGCATAACGTCTTAATAAAAGTCTTTTCAAATGCTTAAAGGTTGAAGTTAAACCGAATAGTGCACTGACTTACGAAATTGGGCAGCAACATAAAGCCTATTTTAAATGGACTTTTCATTTCAAGTGCAGTGCTGCACATTTGCTGCTGTTTCCAAGATTAAATAACTGATGTATGTTATTTATGTATATTATATTTGCGTTTTGTGTTGACCAAACTAATGCAATTGATTAGCCTAACTATTGTAAGAAAGTGCATTTGTCAAAAGTGTACTTTTACTTATAGAGTTATAGTGGGAAAGCATACTCTGAAATAAGTACAGGTAATTATTTAAAAAATTGTCTTATGGAACAGTAGATGGTGACACTTGGACTGTAGATAGAGATCTGTCATTATAGTTTGATTGCAGTAATAAAAAGGCAAATTACATGCATTTAAATATAGAAAATATAAGAATTTATCATTTGCAGGACTGAACATCTACACAAATGACAAAATGCAATGTGTAAAACAGCAACAGGACGTATTGCAGTTATTATATTTTTAATCTGGTATAATTTGGGTACACACATGATGTGTAAGTACTGTAATGTAGCATTTTTGCAGAGAAAATCTGATGCATGATTAAGTCAAATGGTTTTTGCAAGAGTAGAAAAAAACATGGAATCATACAGTAGTAAAAAAAACTATCATAGAACAACACAATGTATGTTATTAATTATTAAAAAGAGCCCAAACATGACTCAAGCTAAATTCCTTCCCTGTACTCTTTAAAAAAGAAGAGTTTTTACAGCTTATTAACAAGTGTTCCCAAACATTTTCCGCCACACTTCTCTGTGAAAGAACAGATCAGTTTACATTCTTATACAGATAGTTTATAAAAATAAAAGTTCTCTTGAAATTTATGTCAAGTAATTTGGAATAAATAAAATATATTTTATGAAGGGCTTACATTTATTTATTTATTTATTAAAATGGAAGTTATTAGTGCTCAAAATTGTTTTGTTAGCAACATACTTTAAAATACCTGCTTTTACATTCTGCAAAATTTATCCAGATTTGGAAATATTGACAGAATTATGAATTATTTAAACTTTTCTGATGTTCTGCTCAGTCACAGAATGTGACAGCTGCCATTTTCATGTGCATCCCTGTAATTGGAATTAGTGTGGTCTGGCTCAGGTATTTAATTCTAACACAATAAAACTGATTTCCCTGTATCCAAAAGTGATTTACCTGTATCCATAAATCTTATTATTTACACTTTCCAGTGGGTATGCATGTTTTTGTTCTGTTGCAGCATATTTTGAAATGCCAGAGTTGTCAATGAACACTGAGGGACAAAACGCTTAGACTAGTAACAGCTGACTTTTCACCTCTCTACACTCTCATGCAATGACTTGAAAACCCTTTCACACTGAGCAAAACATCAAATGAACCCCTGCTTAATCATAGGGCTGCACAATATATGCAATGCAATGTTGAGTTAGGATTATAGATGACTAAGAACCACAGGAAAAAGCACTAGCAATAATAGAATGCTTAAATTGACATAGAAAATAGAATTCATATATTCATTCATTATCTTGTCGGCTTAGTCCCTTTATTAATCCGGGGTCGCCACAGCGGAATAAACCGGCAACTTATCCAGCAAGTTTTTATGCAGCGGATGCCCTTCCAGCCGCAACCCATCCCTGGGAAACATCCACACAGACATTCACACACACAGTCATACACTACAGACAATTTTGCCTACCCAATTCACCTGTACTGCATGTCTTTGGACTGTGGGGGAAACCGGAGCACCCGGAGGAAACCCACGCGAACGCAGGGAGAACATGCAAACTCTATATATGTAATTCATTATATATATACTGTATATGTATGAATTACATAAAAAGAAATTTATATTTTACTCCACTACTTAACCATTCCATTCATTTGTTCATTTTCAGCTTAGTCCCTTTATTAATCAAGGGTCACCACAGCGGAATGAATCACCAGGTTATCCATCATATGTTTTACACAGCGGATACTCTTTCAGCTGCAACCCAACACTGAGAAACACCTATACACTCTTACTGTACACAACGACCCATACACACATACTGTACACAACGACCATTTTAGCTTATTCAATTCACCTATTGAGCATGTCTTTGGGTTGTAGGGGAAACCAGAGCACCCGGAGGAAACCCACACGAACACAGTAAGAACATGCAAACTCCACACAGAAATGCTAACTGACCCAGCCGGGGCTTGAACCATCGACCTTCTTGCTGTGATGTGATCTTGCTACCCACTGCGCCACCATGATGCCCAAAACCATCCCAATCAATCTAAATTAATGACTTTACAAGTATAGAGCTATTTAAGTCATCTGGTAAATTTATATTTATATCCCAATATCACAGACAAAAAATATTGCAATGTCAATCTTTGTTAGCTGTAACACAAGTTTAAATCTTTATCAGTTATATATAGCATATAATTAACACTTAAACCACATTTTTTCATTACCATATTTTCAAAAATCATTTCTAAAGACTTCAGAATCAACATTTTGATTGTGGACAGCTTATTCACCAAATCGATCATCAAGTGACAATGATATTCACAACGGTAATTGTTATGCAGACAATTTTTGCTGATGATGTTCTTTATGCATGTGGTAACTATTAGTGACGGGTTAAGGGTTTATGAATGCTAATGGTTGTTAGCTGACAGTCAGACACAAGGCAACTTAAGGCAGAGCTAGAGTTATAAAGCATGGGAAATTATCCCTTTTTTTCTGAGTACAGATTTAATCGGCTCTCTTTTGACCTTTAGCCTCATTGCTGTGGGTGACAGTGAAGTTTAAAGAGTTCCTCGAGTCCTAGACCTCTAAGATTAGTTCAGGTTCTTTAGACTTTGTTTGATGCTGATAACCACACCAGTCGAGCAACCACCATTAAAATGAATGTGAAAGTTAATGGATAGCTTTCTCCTAGTATTCTAAACCCGGTTATGCCTAACAGATAGCAATGCCCACCTGCAAATCCTCCCTCTGAAACACTGATAACTCCTGAGATTAGTTTAACCACATGTTTTGGAAACGCTAGATTATGTCTGAATCCTCTGCAGTCATTATTTGCAGCTGTAGGAAAGGCTGTCAAAACATAGTCTTTGTATCTCACATCTCTCATGATTACGTTGCTGGCCGCTCATTCTCTCTGGAGCCTTATTTAAAATGTCAGTCCTGTGATTGCATGGGATTTTTCGGGTTTTT